TACAATAAAATCGGTGATGAAGGAGCAGAATATCTGGCCAATGCTCTACAAACCAACACAGTAACAATAATACTTTTCCTTCTTCCTCCTCACTTCACTTCAGCATTCACAAACGTTTCACACAGACACTCATCACGCTCAAACTCGGACATAATAAAATCGGTGATAATGGAGCACAACATCTTGCCAATGCTCTACAAATCAACAAAGTAACAACAATACCTATTCCTCCTCCTTTTCACTTTACTTCATCATTCACATACTTTTCAAACAGACACTCACCATACTCGATCTCGGACAGAATAAAATCAGTGATAAAGGAACGCAATATCTTGCCAATGCTCTACAAATCAATAAAGTAACAATAATACCTTTTCCTCTTTCTCTTCACTTCACTTCATCATTCATACACTTTTCAAACAGACACTCGCCATACTCGATCTCCAATACAATCAAATCGGTGATAATGGAAAGAAACAACTTCGAGAAATACGTGAAAAAAATATAGGACTGAAAATAACTTACTAGTGAAAATCATTAAGAACGATAGCAACCACAAACAAGAATGCTTTTACTCTTAATGTTTACATGATTTTATATTGATTCAACAAATATATGTGTCATCTTGTAGTAATAGGAGATTTTTTTTATGTCGATATAGCTAGTAGAGACTACAGAATAGTGGCGATTGTTGAAGGTGAACTTGCTAATAAAGGAAAAAAAGAGATTTTGCTCAATACAGGACATCGTAGTTTAGTATAAGTTAAATGATCAAATAAAGGTGCATATGTATTTCCATCTGGCATAAGACATTTTGTTGATTGAAATAATGGTGATGAATATGTTTTTTGATAATCAATATAAGAAAAATATCGTTGATAACTACGAAGATGAGCACAATTACATATTGGTGTATTCGCTAAACTAATAAATGTTGAATTAATAAACATTTTTAAAATATTTTTCATTGCATCAACGGAAATAATTTGAAATTGATCTGGCTTTGGTATAATTCTTTGCAATGGAATACCATTCATACGAATAGTAAATATTTTTTTTGGAGTCTCCCATTGATGTGATATATCAATCCATTGATCGATAGTTAACGATTGTTTTAATGTCACATCGAAATTTGATGAATGTAAATTAATTAATTCAACATTTGTTAAATTAAATAAAATTTCTAAATGTTCAATAGATTCTATTGGATTATTTTGTAATAATAATGAAATTAAATTTAATGATTGAAAAGCAAGACCATCAAGAATTTTTATATGATTATTTGATAAATCAAGTATTTGTAAATAATTTAAAAAATTTTTATGAAAATTGGGTATTTTAGTTAATTTCGTATTACTTAAATTTAAATGTATGATATGAGTTAAACATGAGACATCAACGAATTCAGAATCGAAATAGGATCCACTTAAATCAAGTATTTGAATTTTGGAATATTTACATAATTGACTTGGCCATTGTGTAAAAGCATTTCGTGCAATAATTTTTGTTATAGTTGAATTAAATATTGGTACATCAGATAATGTATGTGAACAATTTAATAATGTAAATGAATATTTTGTAAGATAACATTGACATGATGTATTTGGAATGCATGAAGTTAAATTATAAGATTTTGTTGAATTAATTAGAAGAAGAAAACAAAATAAAAAAAATTGATGTACTGCTGCAGACATTTGTTGTTCAAGAAATCAAATGAATATATATATGTTGTTCTTTTACTTTCGTTTTCTTTTTTCTAAGACTGTACGATTAATACGTCATCAGACAATATTTGTAATTTGACACTACACATGTTTTTGCTTCCTATTCAAATCGTTGACTCGACGTGACAATTAACAAATAATCAAGCTATTGTACATATTGTAATCGTATAAGATTTAATTCAACTGTCTCGATATTACGATAAGCTGTTGTATGATTGATGAAATAACACATCCTTTCAACAAAAAAACATCTTTGGTGATTTTAATTTAAATTTGTTTATGCTTATCATGCAATGAAGTATAGCATGTCAATTATTTATATAATCTATTTATTTGCTTGTAATGTTCAAGAAAGAAAAGCATAATCGTCGCTTATGATAATAATAAAAATGATATGAACAAGATGGTTCAATAAACAGAGATATTTAGAAATTTGTATTATCAGTGATATTGATTTGATTCTTCTGTTTGATATATATAGAAGAGAATGCTGGTCTTTTAGAAAATATCCTTTGTAGTAAATATTGTTCTGACCGGGGAATCGATGCAACTGATTAATCACTATTTCAATTAAATATAGTAGACTAAAGGTTATTGAGTGGGTGTGGGTGAGTATTCTATTTTTTCTTTTCCACTCACATCCACACTGACGTTGAATGTGTTTGATAACTTTTATTCTTTCGCGGAACGTATAAAAATTTCTTGTTATAGTAGAAGCCATATAGAAAGTCAATTTTTTTTCTTTTGCTTGTTCACATGGCTTAAAATGAAATAATACAGGGTTTTTTCATAATTCATGAAAAGGGAAAAAACGCTACTGATTAGTCACTTAGTATATTTCCATGTTGTTGTTGCTTTTGAATTCTAATCATTTTTTGGGATTTACCAACTTTACTTTTTGTTTGTCACTCACAAAATTCTCCTATAAATTCAATCAACACTCGCTTTTGACATACATTAAAAAGTAAAAAATATTATCAAGAATTCTAGCATATTATTCATTCAATTTAAATTATTGTAAACGTGGTGAGTTTTTGATTCCTTTCATATTGCATACTAATACTAATATATCTTTTGATCAGTATTTCACATAAATATAAACAATGTTTTAACTTGAATTAGTAGACTAAGAATAGACTGATTAGTTACTTTGTATAGTTTATGAAGATTCTTCATACCATTCTGTAATGAAAAAATATTAAAATTTTTGAAGATTTATTTGCATATTTATTCATAACTTGACTTTTCAATGTAAAACTTGTATAAGAAACTATAGTGTCGAAAGGTATAATTTAAGATTTATTTGAAAAAACCTAAGAGACTTTGTAAAAAAAGAATGTAGAATGACAAGCGAACTACTTTTAATAATTTAAGATCAACTGTTTGATAAACATCAAACGAGTCATTATTTAATGTATTTCTAATAAATTGCATTATGTTTATTTAATAGTCATTTTTCTTGGAATTAGTTCTTATCTTAGTTAAAATCAATCGAACTGAACTCAAATCAGTCAAAGTTATTTTGATTTAGTCTCTAATTAGAGTTAAATAGAATATTGTCATTATCAAATGATATACAATATTAATAAATCATTTACTTAGTTACTCAACACAGATTCTCCTCATCAAATAGATTCTATAAAAGTTATTTAGTAAAAATTTCAAGTTTTGATATTGATATGAAACTTAAAATATGTTGACTATTAAATTAATTTCTTTTTTCAAAATGCGACTGAAGTCAAGCTAAAGATAATAAAATAAGAAAGAATGATAAAATTTCAAGGTCAGCACTGTTTCTATTCTCCTATTTATAACCAAAAATACCAAAGAAAACGTAATCTATATGACTATGTTAATTAAATTAAGTTTAAAAATATTTTATCAATGAAATTAAACTTATTCGAAACTACTTTGATATACTATACGATTTTTTAAGAACAAAGATATCATATTTATTTTTTAAATATACGCTTAGCATCTCATTCACATATAATTAAATTGAAAGAATATAAAAATTGTAGTAAAAATAACTTTGATTGTCAATTTTTTCAAATCTAATAATCCAAATGCAAATCAAATAAAGTTTTTTTCTTATTTTTTACAACTTAGTTAATTGTTGGACAAAATAAATCATTCAAATTATTAATTCACTACAATGAGCAGTTCAGAAGATCGTTATCCAAATGAAGATGAAGTTACTTTAACGCCTGCAGATGTATCAAATCCATTAAGTCATCATGGTGGATTAAATATTAATTATTTAGAAGATATTAATGAAGAAGAAGAAGAAGAAGAAGAAGAAGAATCACCCAGATCACCAAGTCCAAGTAAGTATTTTAACTACTATATTTATTAAATAACAAATCAGCAAAATGAATATGAACATAGTTCTTTAAAATCTAATAAATAAAATAATAAAAAAAAATTATTTTATTTCTGATATTTTTCTAAACTAATCGAATAAGAAATTGAAATGATTCAGAATTAGATTAATATTTCATTATAAATTCATATTTATTTATTTTTACTTTAAATTCAAAAATATTTGTTTTATTCGACAAATCAAATGACATTTATAGAAGAAAATATTTACAAAAAAAAATGAAAGAAAAGAATTTCTTTTTCAATTATAAATAATTTAATTGAAAAAATTATTCTAGAATTTATGGTGTTAATCTGTAAAGAATTAGATAAATAAGAAATATTTGATATCGTAAAAAATAAATTTATTATTTCAATCTTCCTTTTTCTTATGAAACTTGTTTATTAACCTATAGTTTTTTTATTATATAAACAAACGAAATTAATCAAAGACTATTTTGTAAAACGTATTTTATTGAAGAAACATTCATATTGAAATTTCTGAATCACAGTTTAGCAATAAAATTATTCATAACATGCTGATTTTTTGTATTTTTCAAGGGGTATACAACAGAGACTCTATGCATGAAGTCTTATAAGTCTCATGAAGTCTTATGAAGTCTTCCGAAGTCTTTGAAGTGTTATGAAATCTTTAAAGTCTTTGAAGTCTCTAGAAGTCTCATGAAGTCTTTTAGAATTTCTATGAATGCATGTATTTCACGAGGAGATCCAAGGGGTATACAACAGAGACTTCATGCAAGAAGTCTCATGAAGTCTTATGAAATCTCTTGAAGTCTTATGAAATCTCGTGAAGCCTGTGAAGTTTTTTTAAATCTGTGAAGTCACCTTGAAGTCTTTCGAAAAACTGAAGTCTCGCTTACTGAAGTCTCTCGAAGTCTTTGAAGTCCGCTGTTACCCCTTGGTATTTTTAAATCACTTAATATAATACCGAAAAAAAATTTTATCCATCGTTTTCGAATTATTTTTCTCATTGAGATACTGAGAAAATTATTAAATTAATATTTAGAATAAAAATTCTTTTGCAAAGTAACAAAGTTTTTCATTTAAAATATTTTTTCTAAATTAATTTATGTGAATAAGAATAAAATTTTCCATTAAAATTTTTCTTTTAGAATTAAACTAAATATTTTTCAGAATTGAGAAAAATCATTCGAATAGTTTTTCAAGAAAAGAAAATAATATTAGATCAAAAATTGAATATATTTATTGAAAATCAAAATCAATTAGATTAATTTTGTTTCTTTGTCATAAAATTATTTTCTTTATATTAGAATTATTGACAAAAAATCTCTTTCACAAATAATATCATCATTTCGTCTATAGAGTTTATTTAAAATATTTATCTATATTCATTCTCTTTAAAACTCAATGAAATGTTCTCAATTATTTATTCAATATTTTTATTTAATTAGAGATTATTTCTTTTTACTTTGTCTTTTTTTTTCAAATGAAATATTTGAAAATTAATTGATCATACGATTATTTTTACTATGAAGATTTGAAATTAATTTTATATTTTTTGCATTAGTAAATATTTGAAATCATCTACAATTCTTTTTTTAAACATAAAAATAATAAATATTCAGATTTTTCTTTAAACTTTGAAATATTTTCGAATTAAAAAATATATCGATTACGGAAACAATACAATATTAAATTCATAGACAAATTTGATTTTCTTTCCATCAAATCACATTTCAAATATTCTCTTCAAGATTTTTATATTTTCAATTTATTAAAATCCTATATGAAATATCTTATTTTTAATGATTTGAAAATTAATTCGAAATATTGTTTCAACACATTAATCAATGAAGAAAATATTTTATAAAATCATTAATTTTTAGTTTTCAAAAGATTTATTCTCATATTAAATTCAAATCTAAACAAAATTCTCAGAATAAATAGAATTTTAGATTTTTTTCAACTTACAAAATCTCTTTTAATATTTTAATGAAAAGATTTTGTTGTTTTTAAATTATTGAATAAATTTAAGTTAAGTTTAAATACTTAGTTTAGAACTTTCAAATAAAAAACTATTTAATTTACTAATAGAAAAAAAGTTTTTAATTGGTTTTATTTTAATCACTGAAATAGAAATGATTTTTATTTAAAAACATTTTCCTAAATGAAACTTTTATAAAACTCAAGTAAACAATTTTTTAATTAAAATATCTCAGTTGCATAACGAAATTTTTTAAGATTAGTTTTGTTTGATCAAAAGTTAAATTTAACAAAAACCAAATTTTATTTCATTAAAATAAATTCAAATGCAAGTTTTTCTTTTTATTTTTGTTCTTTTTTTGATTTAAAAATAATCAAAAAGATTTTGGGTAAAATGAAAATCTTCTATTTTAGAACAAATTCAAACAAAAAAGAATAAATATCAACACTTTGGACTTACTGTTGCTGGAGATAATGGAAAAGGACCGAAATTAAATCGACTCGATAATCCTCATGGGATGTTTATTGATAATGATAAATCAATTTATATTGCTGACACTTACAATCATCGTATTGTTAAATGGAAACTGAATTCAAATGAAGGTAAAATCATTGCAGGTAGAAATAGGAAAGGAAATCAAAATAACCAATTGAGTTGTCCAACAAATATAATTTTTGATAAACAAAATAATTCGTTTATTATTTCTGATTCTGGAAACAGACGAGTAGTTCGGTATTTTGACCAAAATCAAACTAATCCAGAAATTATTATTTCAAATATTGATTGTTATGGGCTGACAATCGATAAAAATGGATTTATTTATGTTTCTGATTGGAAGAATCATGAAGTAAGACGATGGAAACAAGGAGATGAAGAAGGTGAATTAGTTGCAGGTGGAAATGGTGAAGGAAATCATCTTAATCAACTAAATAATCCTACTTATATGTTCATTGATGAAGATTATTCTCTTTATATATCAGATTGTTATAATCATCGTGTAATGAAATGGAAAAAAGATGCAAAAGAAGGAATTGTTGTTGCTGGTGGAAATGGTGATGGAAATAGTCTCAAACAATTAGATCACCCTCGTGGAGTAATTGTTGATCATTTGGGTCAGATCTATGTGGCAGATGGAAAGAATAATCGAGTAATGCGTTGGAGTGCAGGAGATGAAGAAGGTGAAATTGTTGTTTGTGGAAGTAGTTATAGATTTCACACAGATCAATTGAACTGGCTCGAAGGTTTATCATTTGATAATGAAGAGAATCTTCATGTTGCTGAGCGTAATAATCATCGAATTCAAAAATATGACAAAATTTTAAATTAAAAATATTTTTAATTTAATTTGATAAAATTTTGTTTTTTATTTCTTAAAATAAATAAAAAGCATTAATTTGTGAAAAATCTTTCAGAAAAATAAATAAAAATGAATAAGAAATTTTTTTTTCAGTACAATAAATAAATTTGTTTTTTGTTTCAAGAAAAAAAGTAAGTAAATATTTTGTGAAATTTAATTTTAAATTAAAAGATCAAATGAATATAGTAAGTTGGATAGAATTTTAATTGAATGAATAAAATAAACAGACTTTTAATTGAATGAAATCAAATTTTTTTTTGGAAAAAAATCAAATAAAATATATTTCAGACTCAGAAAAAAACATTTAAATTAAGAAGAAAAAACTTCGAAATAGAACCAAATTGGTTTTTTATTAGATTTATTTTTGTGATTTTATGATTTATTGAGAGAAAAAGAAGATAAATCAATAACAATAAAATCTGTTAAAAACGAAAAATTAGATTAAGAAAATCTATTTTTTTGAAAGAGAAAATTACTGAATGAGAATAAAATAAAAAAAAAGAAAATGAAATTTATTTTATTTTATTAAAAAAGAAAAATTAAAGAGAAAAAATACATTGAAAATTTCAATTGTTTAATAAACAACTTGTCCTTATTTTAATAAATCTTTTTTTTCAAATAAATAAATTTAGAAATAAACTAAAAAATTTTTTCGTGAGATTATATTCAATTGTCTGTTGACTTTTCTGGTTGGTATAGAAAAAGATTTTTAATTAATCAAAACTTATTTCTAAAATCTAAATAAAAAGAAAAAAAAAATCGAATATATTTTATAAAGTTTCATTAGTTAACAAAATGATTCATTGAATTTAATAAAAATAATAAAATGGTGAAGATAAATTAAATGATTTTTCTCTTTTTTTGATAAATAAAAAATAATCTCTGAATTAAACGATTATTTAACAAATCATTAAATATTTTTTATTTAAAGAAAATAATTCAAGTGGTTCTAAAAAAATATTTTATTTCATTTTTACAATTAATTATTCTATCTGACTCTCAAAAGTGAGAACATACTCAACTTAACTTCTTCCAAATATCATCAGTTGACTGTTCAACAAACAAACGAATGCATATGACATGAATTAGTTAGTTTGTTTTATTGACTAAACTTCTTTTCTTTATTCAATAATGATTAATTCATTCAAAAATAAGAGATATATTCATCCTAGAATTTTGAAGATAAACAAATCATGAATATAAAAATATATGTAAATCAGTTCATTGACAGATTTCGATTATTGTTTCTATAAGTAAAATATTCAACTTGATAATTCAATTTATACACTAAAGAGCGTGGGTGCGATCTCTAGCTGATATCCACACCCTCAATTAGTGTCATAATCAGTATCAATTCTTTTCAAGACATTGAAAATAATTTTACAATTTGAAAATGGTAAAAAGAGAATTATCTTAACGATAATATAACCCAGTTACTTACATTCTTGAAATCGATTTTGTTATGAATAATAGTTGAAAACTGAAGGCAAATCTTGTCGTTTTATAAATGAAATAACCAGATACTTATTTATCTAAGAAAAAGTAATCATCTACTACGACGATGCTACGTTAGTCAACTATAAATAAATTCTAGTCTCAACTGTCAGACGCTTAAGGTCTGATAAAATTTCTCATTTTCCTTTTTATTGTTAATTAAAAATTAGAAAGTCGAGAACAAAAGTTTAATTCACTAATATTTTATGTCAATTTGAAAGATTAATTCTAAACAATAATAATTCTTTTACTGGTTTCGTCAAACACAATCTAAAAGAGAGTATTGAAGTTTTAGAGTAAACATTTTGGATCCAATTACATTGCAATACCTATGTTATGCTATAAGCGACAATCGACTGACTCTATCATTGATTAATTAATTCAGAAAATTTACAAATAAAAATTTGAAGATTCGAATAATGATTATAAGTTGATTATCTTCAGTATTTATAAAAATTTCTTTTTTTCTGTCGTTTTATTCATCTAAATCGATATCATCTCATGATTCTTCTCCGTGCACACATTCTTTAAGAGTTTGTTGTATTTCTGGTATTCAATTTGATTTATTAATAACAAGTACCCGCACACCCTCAAGATATCAATCTACATTATCTATTCATTTAGGATAACTTTTATTTTACAAGAAAAATAATGATCATTTAATCTACATAGAAATATTATTGTCATTATTTAATCCATATTCGAAGATGATTGACACAAAATGGATGTCTACTTATTGCACAGGTTGATGGTAAATGTTCAATCAACCATTGAATATCTTCATCTTTGCATAAGATACTTTCATCATCCACGTTATTATGTATTCTTGAAGGCATA